AAAGGCAAGAAGTGACTGGCTTACAAGCTTTCAAAAGGAGGCCAAGTTCCAGAGGGTGTGGGGGAAGGTAGAATCTCCACTGAGTGGTTTCCAATCTGTCTGGACGGGGCTGGCGAAAGGAGATGGGGATAAGACTCTTGTGGTTCAATAGTGAATAACTGCTGTCAGGATTGACTGTGAATGTTGCAAATGTAAAGGCAGACATTTTGTAACAAAAAGAGGGGAGTGATTGATCTTGCAGTCCAGGAGCCCAGGAGCGGTGGACCCTGAGACCATCAAGGGAAAAGAGCAGAGAGCGGTACCCTACCCAGAGAAGCAATGATAGCAGAGACGAGGTGGAGAGATGGAGCAGCTGGGGACTCTGGACTCAGGGAAGGAGAGGGACTGTGTGTCAGTGGCTGGGGGGCAGGCTTGCGGGGTGTACCCTTTGGTTGTTTGAGTGATTATCTATTCCTGAGTGCTTCGGTGTACATCCAAAAATAATAAAAATAAAACAAAGGGAATGAAAGTAAAAGCTATTGAATGATGATGCATGGAGGGGATTGTAATCATTGTAATGAAAAGAAATACGATAGGATGAATGTAAAACTGACGTTCTCCCACATAAACTATCACTTAATTCACAATAAAAACTTTAAAAATAAAAAAGACCAGCACCGAAAAAAAAAAAAGAAAAGAAGAAAACCTTGAGACTGATCCTTAGACCCCTTCAAACCTGTAACTGAACCCAACCTCGGGGATGATCCTCCAGCCAAACAGCAGACAGCTCCATACAGTGAACACTAGCACCAGGAAGGCATGTGCACCTCGGTACAATCACCCACAGGAGACCAAAAGGGGAGCTTGTGCCCAAAAACCAGCTTAAAGGCAGGAAGGGGCAGGAAAGAAGGAAGGATGGAAATGGAGAACCCAGGAAGGAAGGGACAATGGTCACATTGCGGCGACTGCAGCCAATGTCAGGAAACAGGATGTGTGTCTTCTCAAAGGGAAATCTCATTTGCTCTGACAACTTTCAATCAATGACAATAAAAGGTAAACAAACAGAAACAAAACAACAATAACAAAAAAGTACCCACCAAAAAGGAAAAAAGAATACATGTTCATTTTCACTTTTTACATGCACAGAAACTGCTCCCTAGTTCCCGGGTGGTGCTATGGGTTAGTGCGCTGGACTGCAAAGTCAGTTTGAAATGCAAGGCAGGTGGTTAAAGCTCACCAGCTGCTCCTCAGAAACCATCTACATGGTCACTGTGGGTCAGAACTGACTCAAGGGCACCTAACAACAACAAGAAACTACAGAAGAAATTAACGACCAATGGGCATCGACTTGGCTCGGGA